AGCTAAAAATAAAACTGAATGTAAAAATAAGGATTTATATGTATACATGATATAGATTTTAACTAGAACATAAACTGGTGGCAAAGTTTTGTCCGGCAAAAAGCATAAAATTAAAAAAACAAACAAAATAAAATTAAATTAATGTGAAAATTGATAGAAAACTACATAAAGTTGTTGAATAAAAGAACAAAACAAGACGAACAATAAAACCTTAGAAAAAAAAATTAGCAAAAATATCAATATTACAAAATATGAATCTTTGTGTGATAACCAATAATAAATTTATTTTGTCATTTTGCCAGCAGTAAGCATATTAAAATAACCTAAAGATACAAGTGACAATTTTCAGGAACACACGCTGCATCAAATACATGTACCATATCAAACTTTTGACTTGTGAAAAGAAAAGTGAAGTTATGTCAAACATTTTCACAGCATCATCCAATTTATAGAAGTAGATTTTTAAGCATAATTAAAAAATGTATCAGAAAAAAGTCCAGCTTGGTGTAGGATTCAAACTCCCAAAATTTATCTTAACAATTAAGTGAAGAATGAATGGAGAGGCTGACAGATCAGTTTGAGCCTGTATTTACAGTATTCTATGTAGTTGTGCACTTATATGTAACACTCACTTATTGAAATTTTTCAAGCAAAGCTCATGACCTACTATACCCAGACAAACCAAAATCTCAGATCAAAATTATAAATTCACAACAAAAAGATTTTTACTAGTACTGATTGGAAAACTTATGTATGTGAAGAATTTGAATAGACAAGACCTGTAACTTATAAACAAACAAATACAACCATCTAATCAAATAAGCCAAAGAATCATCATATGTTGTTTGTTTCCCATTGATATCTACTTGACATACTTAATAAACTTTGATTTTTTATTAAATTAAATTTGTATACTTATATACTTTTACATGTACTTATTGTGACAGCTTACTAAAATGTAGTATAAATTAAAAGATATAGGCCTTAGAATGATTTCAATGTTCTATTTTGTTATCTTGTTAAACTCAAGGTATAATCATGTTTAAGGATATAACAACAATATGACAATAATTAACACAAAATCTGTATACAATAATATACATAAAGGCACATTAAATCAGTGCCAACATGACACCTTAAAAATGTTTTGAAACAAAAGCTGTCTGTAGGACAGCATGCTCAACTTTTTTCCAGTGCTTGATAGTAAAACAAGCGCCTGCATAATGTAGAATTCTTTATGTTCAAAATGGGCAATAGTCAGGACAAAATCCATGTTACAGTAATTAACAGTGACCTCACATTATGCCATTTAATAAGTGTGTTAAGTTTCAAATCATTCCTTCAGAAACAGAGATAATAACAGAGATATCAACTTCCTAACCAGATAAAATATCACACGTTCCTGCTGAACATAAAACTTGTAGCAACTTATTAACCAGATATTAAAATAAGGAAAATAATACATTTTCTGAAAGCTTATGCATTTGTCTATGGCTGCAGGTAAAAATATTTACAGTTCCCATTTAAATAAATGATACATCAATTTTTAAAGAGCACTACCTATTAATTTTTGTTACAAAACTAATTATTTGACGAAAAAACTGGCTCAGTGGGTATGTCTTGCTATGTTTTTCTAAGTGAAAGGCATGGAAAGTTCCCAATATTTTAACATGCAGCAATAGATAAAAGATTTACCATTTAAATGGTATATAATATTAAATGATCAAATGCAAATCCAATAAGTTTTATTTGCTACAAAATGCCTAATTTTTCATTTTTGGTTAGGCATGAGTGATATTTCAATGGAGTATATAGGAGTTGCTTATCTCATCTGTCTCTGATTCCTTTAAATAGTTTTAGTCATACCAACTTGCACCCAAAGACTTAACCAAAGTGTGAATTGCCAATGCCAGGGTGAGTACAATAGCTCTCCCTACTCTTTGAATTGTCCAGATAAAAAGATATAGTTAAAAAACAAACTTTAGGATGACTCCTGATATACAATGTAAATATTATGCAAAATTAAAAATCTGTTTAAAGTATAAAGAATAAAACCAAACAATACTGTTTCACAAACATCTTAACAACTAAAAGAAGAACAACATTAAAATTAAACAATATATTAAACAAAATTGCAAAAATGAACACAAAATATAACAATTTAAAAGTTAAAAGTAAATTTTTTACCAATCTCAAAACAGACAATAGTGACAATAAGCATTTGAGCCGTGTCATGACAAAACCAACATATTGGGTTTGTGAACAGCTTGATCCAGACCAGCCTGCGCATCCGCGCAGTCTGATCAGGATCCATGCTGTTCGCCTACCAACCCTATTACAAGTAGAGAAACTGATAGCGAACAGCATGGATCCTGACCAGACTGCGCGGAAGCGCAGGCTGGTCTCATCCATGCTGGTCGCAAACCCATTATGTTGGTTTTGTCGTGACACAGCTCATTTTTTGGTAGCAAGGAATGAACACTAACATGTTTTCATCATTATAAGTCAAGTTACCAGAATACTGTTGGTGCAATAAAATATCATAAAAAAATGTAAGACCAAATATTATAAGACCAAAAAAAAATAAGAATCAAACTCTAAAACCAAAATTATAAGACCGAAAATTATAAGACTAAAATTGTAAGACCAAAAATAAATTGTACTTACATGTATACTTACAGTAACATTAAAGTAAATATTTCTAACAATAATCATACAATCAAGTGACTATTACTACTTTAAAACACCTTAAAGCTGTTTATATCATGGAGCTTTTTATCACATACCTGTTGCGCTTTTGCGACTCAGTAAAAATGGTATTAGACAGCTGTGCATATATTTTAATTTGATGTCATTTGCTTTATATAAACATTGCATTGAGACACACTATATTTTGTGTTACATGTATACTCGAGGCCAAGCAATGGATAATGTTTCCTTTTCACTTCAAACGGTCTTTATTTTGTGGTATTTTTTGGTATGTGATTAAAAGAATGTAAGTTTATAACTAAATTTATTGAACTTGTTGGATAAAATAATTTGATGCTCGCCAAAGGCTGGCACAATATAATTTTATTCCACTTGTTCAATAAATTCAGTATTAAACTTACACTTATTCAATATCTTGTATATTTGATGTAAGTTATCTCTAATAAAAGTCTCTGGTTTATATATACTGATAAATAAGATTAATGCCGAGGCAAACAATAAACATAAACAATTCCCCTACATAATGGGCAAGGACATGTATTCTTTAGATAAAAGTAAGTTGTAGCTAATTAAGTACAACAATTTAACAAAATGTTGTAAAGTATGGCTCTAATCAATTACAATAAATGTCTATAAAATATAAATTTTAATTTAACTGTTCACCACTCTCATTCTGTAAACTCAAAAATCTAAATAAAATATTAGGTCCATTATACAGTGGGGGGTTAACATGTAACATGTAACACGGAGAAAGATAGTCTAATAAGTAGAAGATTAAAATGTTACGTTAAATCAACGTTTTTTGGTGTTTTTTTTAAGAGAAGAGATTAACTTAATTACACACACAGCTTATTTAAATAAGCTAACTGTGGAGTGTTGAAAGTTCAAACCATCTAATTTTTGTTTTTCTCAAAATAGATGAAGTCAATAAGGAATGTAGCTGCCACTAGAATCGTCTTGTGAAACACATCCATGTTTGCTGGGACTGCAAGTATAAAACAAGAATTTAGTATTTTATATGAGCCGTGTCATGACAAAACCAACATAGTGTGTTTGTGACCAGCATGGATCCAGACCACCATGCAGATCCGCGCAGTCTGATCAGGAGCCATGCTGTTTGCTATCAGTTTCTCTACTTGTAATAGAGTTGGTAAGCGACCAGCATAGATCCTGATCAGACTGCGCGGATGCGCTGACTGGTCTGGATCCATGCTGGTCACAAACCCATTATGTTGGTTTTGTTGTGACGCAGCTCATATGTTTTAAATAAGCTGAAAGATTGAAGAGAATATTTCTCAACCAAATGCAAATATTTTCTTTACAGTATTTTTTTAGTTTATACAGATTAAGCACAAGATTGCAGATCTTGATAATATGTGAGCTCAATAGGTAGAGCGTTGGACTGTAAATCGGGTGACCTGGGTCCAATTCCTAGACAAATCAGGCCACTTTCGTTGTGATTGATGATGAAATCTTTTCTACGGTCATTCGCAATGTATCTCTGCTCTGGCATGTACAGAAGTTACCAGTTCCTTGCGAAAGTGAAGGCAACTAGTATTAGTAAACTACTTGACAGCCTGCCCAGGAAAATGCGATGGCTGAACTGTGCTCTGGTTAATTCAATGTGGCTTACTCATGATTCAGAGTGAAAACTACAAACACCATCAGTTCTTGATAAAGGGAGGTAATTGTGCAAAAATAAAGTGCAACATCTGCAGAGTTATCCTCTATACAGCAATAACCTTTCTACAACAACAGTATCAACTCTTTGAAAAGTTTTACTTCATAATAATCTTAACCTCTCTATAGCAACATCTGAAAGCAACAACCATCAGTTCTGTCTACTAATGAAAGTTGATCTTAGCCTTTAAAAGCCAATGAGGAGAAGCAAACATTTTAAACCAACTGTGAAAGTGGATCATCAGAACTAAAAGGTGAAAGACATTGTTTAACCCTTAACCCGCTGGATCCAAAAGTGATCAGCCTTTGCCACCAGTATAGAACCAGGCCAGCCTGCACATCCGTGAAGTCTGACAAGGCTCTATACTGTTGACAGCTCAATTTTTGTAATTTGATATTGAAATCCCTTTAAATTTGAATGGACTGTTTCAAATTCAAACCTTGACAGATCCATTATACATGTAATAGAAATAATCATTATTAGCAGGTTTAAAGGGTATATATTATGAGCATTTTACTCAAAAGATTTACTTTTCATTAAAATAAAGTATACAAAACAGTAAGATAAAGTACATACACTGTACACTGAAGTCATTCACACCTCCACACAGTTCCCTACAGCCACCCCAATGTTTGATGATACGACCAACATCTGTACCAGTTACATCACTCACCTGGTCAATAATAGCAAAGTGCATACCATCATATAACATGCAGTAAAATAGAATAAAAAATCTGGAAAAAGGGTGATCCCTTGAAAGCAATGATCACAACAAAATAATATGAAAATTGCAGAGTGTACTTCATGATCATTTGATTATAACAAGACTACAAGCCAACATGACAGTAAACAGTGATGTTGTCAGATTAACATGTTCAAGTTTTTAAAGATATCATCATATTGATTTAGAAAAAGTAAATACAAAATGTAATGATTTCAATCAGAGAGCTAAATGTCAACTGACTTAATGGTACTTTAAATCAGCCACATAGAATTCAAAAGAAGAAAGAAATTATAAGTAAGAAATAATTGGGTATTTTATGATTTCTGTATCAACAGTCATCATTTGTTATTATACAGAACAGAACTGTTCTGTTCTGTTATCATACATAAATCTGTGTACATCTTTGACATTTTTTTTAAATCAATGCTTTTGGCTTTGTTTTTGGAAGTAAATACTAGGTTGAGGCCTATGAACATGACCAAATGAAAATATTGAAATGACGTCTCACCTGGAAATTTATGTCAGTCCCACAAGCACAGTAGCAACATTCACCATTGATAGTGAAAATATGACTTCCCTGATTGTCATACACCTCATACTTGGGTAACCAACATGTCCATCTAGCAACGTAAAACAGTGAAACTAAATAACTGATATGTCAATCTACACGTCTATTTAACTCAATTATTTCAGTATCTGACAAGCAAATTTAATCAAGATCATTATTACAGATTTCTCAACAAACTTTAGTGACACCACTCCATAACTACACAGTACTGTACTTTAATTTTAACTAACCAAACTTATTTTTTATATTGGTATAATTTCACTAAGGGATCATTTCTGTGAAATAATATCATATTCATATACACATGATACAAGGAAAATAAGACCACATCATCAAGCAGTCATGTTTTAAAACCTGGTTATATACATAAAGACATATATATCTTCCCAGGTTTAAACTTATCAACATTATCTGAACCAGATTGGTAGGTGGTTTCACAATGGTGTGATTTTTGTGAAATATTATCAAAATCTGACAAACTGTTTTTGACAGAAAGATGTTTAAAATATTTCCCTTTCATTGCCATGGCAACAAGAGTTCTGCATGGATGGGTTTTTTTACAAACATTCTGACAGACGATCACCCAAAGAAAATTCCTGCAATATTTTGATAATGTTGACTAATTGGCTTAGAACTCAAAATTTTGAAAGGCAGACGTCACAAGGAATTGAAGAGGCCAATCATTTTGTTACATTCTTTAGTGTAGAAAGGGCTAAGGCCCTTTATTCTATTGTTAAAGAATGAATCTCATTATATTCTTTAAACTGTTCTTTTTAAATTATTTGGCCCTCTTTTACTTTTGCAATACCCATACTGGCAGACAGTCTGACACAATTATCACAATAGGTCACCTATAGCAAATTGTGCTCAGGCAAGTTTGAGATTACCAAAGAATTAGGGCCAATTGTCCCTAAAACATTCGAAAACATTCTCTGAGAAAGGTGTAAAATCTGCTTCATTCAAACCAAATACATGATGGATACATTACCTTAATGATACACACATATTTACAACAGAAAAGGAAAAGATATTAAAGAAGTTCTTAATTATTTATGAATGTATTGTATTTCTTTGTACTAACAACATTTCATTCAATGTAACCTCAGTATTATTTAGCAGATATTGATTATATCTTAATATATTACACAGTGTATATACTATATCAAACAATAATATTTGTTAGAGGCAGTGTTTAGAAGCAGTGTCTTGTAGTTCCAATATCATATTTCAACAATGTTTTATTGATTTTACCCACAATACTTGGAGATAACAAATATACTCAACATCTAGATATCTCTAAAGAAAGACATTAATGAGCCGCATCACAACAAAACCAACATAATGGGTTTGCAACCTTGAAACTTGAAACTTTTCATTTAATTAAACGCCTGTTTCTATTTAACAATATTCAACGGCGTTGTACAGTACATATAAATAAATAAGTTCAACATCTAATTCAAGCAGTCTGAATTCGTACTAAACAATGGAACTTACCAACTTTCTGAATATATCTTATCAGTAGCCAATACTTAAAATGTACTGCAAGGGTTATTTATGATGTTATGCAAAATTAAGCCAGTATTACATTTTGCTGCACCTACTTGGATGCAAGAGGTGAAGAACTGTGCATTCAATTAGGCATTTTAGTGCTGTATGGATGCAGAATGCTGCATCCAGTAAATCCCTGATGACATTCTATATACAGAATGAGACTTACATTTGTTTGATAGATCCGATGGTATTACCCGGTGGTGACATGATACTCATCTCCTGTAGACAACAACACCACATAAAGCTACCTACACACTTCAGAGGTCGGTACATCTGTATTAGAGGCTGCCAGTTGTTGTCAGTTATATTCATGGTGAATGGTCGCATCGTTCCAAAACACTGACGTGTCAAACAGTCTGTGTCTTTAAATAACAAAACAATACATACAGACTGGTAACAAATCTGTAGCGTTTGATTCAGAAGTAGTATTTCAAATACAGGAGTGAAATGATTAATCAAGATTATGCCAAACAGCATTAATAGCCGACAATTCAATTCTCAATTTGTCATTGCCGTGATTTGATTAGTTGTCACTATTTTTGCAAACATTTCTCCTTCTTGAGCAAGCATTTTTTCATTGGTTATGCGTTCTCTATCAACCAATCAAAACCCTTGTAATTTAAACACTAATAGACAAACTACAAATTGTTGATGTTTTTGGGTCATTAAAGTCAAGTGTCTTTCAATGTAAATATATATTTTTTTTAAGTATTCCTAACAGAAAACCTAATGTTAACTCAAATTGAAATTATCAAATGCGCATCCACGCGGTCTTATCAGGATCCATGCTGTTTGCTTACAAACCCTATAACAAGTAGAGAAACTGATAGCGAACAGCATGGATCCTGATCAGACTGCGCGGATGCGCAGGCTGGCTAGATCCAGGCTGGTCGCAAACCCATTATCATATGTTGGTTCTCTCATGATGCGGCTTAAATCGCAAAGCATTAATCGAGAATCTAATCAAGAGAAAGCTGAATTGTTGCACCCTTACTTACTTACTTTAAACATTAACCAAAATGAGCTGGAACCTAAAAACATTTCCTGATTTTTAAATCAATACTTGAAAGCAATGCACAAGCCATTTGCAAGTATGTGCCTCCTTTTCTTGGAATAAGTGAAGAGTGACTAAGATATTTGTATTTTAAAACCCTTAATACAAAGGTTATACCCCCCACTAAAAGCCACTGCACTGTGATTTAAACATATCCTTATCTATTTTGATGCCAAAACAAAATGATGGCATTAAGACCAAGCAGTGTGTGGGGACATACAGAAGGCAAAAACTCATGTCTCCCCTATGCTCCTTCCTTCCTTGAGAGTTGGGACAGGTTTACAAGTGATTGGCCAATAACGGTTAAATAAAATATGTAGGTACATTAAAATATAGTTATATTAGCATTATGTAGGATAAACTGTGTTAAAACGTATTGTTTCAAACCAAAATATCACAGAAAAACTTGTACTTAGCCTAGAGTGGATATGACTCAGCTGTGAGTTTGTATTTTTTTTATCAAAACAGACAAGTTACTAACTTACCTTCTTTAGCATACATAAACTGTTGATTGTTAGAATTGCAGATTTGGTATTTATTGTTTCTCTCACAACCAGACAATACTAAAAGAGACAATATTAATAGGATGAAATGAAAAAGAAAAAAATAACAATGTAAAATTCATATACAAAGTAAATAGTATGATGTATAAAGAAAAGTAAATATTTTGCATAAAACAGAGGTAAATCTACAATAACAATAGATATTTTCCCATTTTGGACATAACTGTGGAAAATTCACAAATTAATCTTGTCAGAAAATTCACAACAATACAATTGTGAAGATTCCCTGTAGCCAGGTCAACATGTAACATTGGATACCTAAATTAACTTCTAAAGCTGTCAGAAACACTGATGTGAATTTGTTGTTAAATCTTTAAAGCCAGCCAAACCTCACTACAGTACACCTCATCCTGTGCTCCACAGGTCAACACTTAACATGCTTTAAAAGGATTCTCATTAAAATCTTTACCTTCTAAAGCATCAAACTGTTGGTGGATCTGTACCTCACTTAAAGCAGAAAGATAAGCCAGGCCTTGCGGGAGACCATGGGGTAGCACAATTGTCTGTACTTCAGACATTGGTGCCATTGGCATGCCAACACCTTTCTGTCCTTGACCTGGCTGAGCTATGACAACAGACATTCTGGATTAATCTGAAACAAATTTCATAATGACATCATTTTAAACAAAGTACAAGAATAGCTAACAGTTTTTACAGTTTTATCATTTTTAATTTCCTGTTTCATGGACAATAACTCAACTTTAAATAAAAAAATAAGTGTTAGAGAAGCGGTATAGATAAGCTATTTTCGCAAAAATAAGATTGTGTCTACAAAAATAAGATTTATGTTTGAAATAGTGCATTAATCTGTTTAATTAATTATGTTAATTATATATTTATCCATTCATTGAATGACTTTACAGCAATATAAATTTTCATAACCAAAAAATGTCTAAAAATGTGAAGTTTGAGTCGAAAATATCTACCTACGAAAATAGCTCAAATCGCAATGTAAAGCAAAAATAAGATTGGGTCTACAAAAATAATATTTATTTTTGATATTATGTATTAAATACATATTTTTGTTGTTATTAAATAATTTGCATGGATGAAATAATAAGGAATGAAATGTTTTAATTTGATATATTAAATGTGTGTTCCGTTAATACAAATAGTATAGAAAAATAACTCAAGGTGGCAACTACGAAAATAAGACTTGTAAACATGGTTCATAACTTTTAAAATCGTATTAATTGCAAATATGATTGTATGAATTTAATCTTCTATTATAAGACAAGAAAAGTTTGTTGTAAAAAGTATCAAAATAAAAGCAAGAATTAACTAGTGCAAAAATAACCAGAAACAATGATTACAAGAATAAAATCTGCCGTATATAGAATATAGAGCGGGTGCACCTAATGCCGAACATGCTCCTAATTCTGACCAAAATATTATAATTCATTTAATATTTCATGTTTAACACAATTCAAAACAAGCATTTGATAGTATTGCGGGCAATACAGTAGTCCCCTACCGGTCCCTCAAAAAGTTCTTTAACCCTTTCCCCCATGAGCATATTGTGAAAAATGGCCATTTTCACTGAAAAGCCTCCTCTAACAAGTTCAAACTGCTATGAAACTATGAAAAATGCTTCAATACTAATCAAACTTGGCACAAATGTTGACTGGACCATTGCCTTTGTAACGACATGCTCAGTCTTAAATTTCCTGTTACCATGGCAACGAGGGGACATCTCAAAATTGCCAAAAATCACTTTTTTGCCTCGATTTTTTCCATCAAAATTTACTTCAAAGTGCTGCAACTTCTCAAGGCATTGAGATAGAGTCAAAGGCTTTTCAGCGTTGGTTACACGTTACCTTATGATCAACCTGGGGTCATTTTAAGCCTCTCACAAGTCCAAAATTTTCTTGGCGATGAGGGGGACTCCGCCCCCCTTTAAACCCCCCAAACAGAAGGGGGCACATCCCCCTTCTGGCAACCCCCTGATGTATTATTTGGATGGGGGACGGCGCCGAAAAAATGGTCACTTTTTTTAACAACATTTCTCAAACAAAAGACAGTGTTTGGGGCCTAAATAGGGCATTTTTTCACTGTTTGAGGCCTCAAAAAGGGGGGGGGGGGCAAAAACCCGTCGAAACACGCTTATATAAGGGAAAAGGTTAATTGTCATACACTCCTGTGTATTGCCATTTATAATGAATTTGAGGATGAAGTCTGTATTTGAAAATATCAACCACAAAACATAATAAAATAAGTTTGTCTATATCACAGTAATGTGTTAAGTTTCCATGCTTAGTAAGGAAATTATGTTTATACAACCTTGTCATATTATTACGATGTGGGATTTTAAAGTAAATCCTATAAGGAATGAAGAAGTTGGAGTGAAAATACCAGTTTCTCGAAAAAAATCTAAGTCCAAGGGGGACATAATTCTGGAAATAGTTTTGCTAGAGTATTTAACCTTCTCAAAAATGTCGAGTGATAATAAGAAACATATATATGAAGTTTGAAGTAGATACATTAGGAAATAAAGAAGTTATTTAAAAAAGACAACATTTTTTCCCCTAAAAAAATCTAAGTTCAAGGGAGGTAATATTAATATTTTTTGTGCTAGAGTTATAAACCTTGTCACATATGATGTGGTTGATGACCAGGAACTTATATTTAAAGTTTGAAGTAAACACCTTAAGAAATAAAGAACATATAGTGAAAAAGCTGAAAAATTTAAATCAGAAATCTTGAAATTCAGGCTATTTGTTGCCATAGCAACCAGAATTTTCAACATAGGAAGAAAATAAAAAGATGTGCATAATCTCCAGACTGCCATCTACCCATATTTCAAGTTTCATAAAAATATTTTCAGTACTTTTTGAGTTATCACTGGATCCAGTTTATGTGTTAAATTTGCCATATTTTCAGACTATTTGTTGCCATAGCAACCAGAATTTTCAACATAGGAAGAAAAAAAAAAGACGTGCATAATCTCCATACTGCCATCTATCCATATATCAAGTTTCATAAAAATATTTTCAGTACTTTTTGCGTTATCGCGGGATCCAGTTTTGTGGACGGACGGACTGACGGACTGACAGACTGACAGACAGACAGACGGACAGACAGACGGACAGACAGACAGACGGACAGACGGACGGAGGGTAAACCTAAAGTCCCCTCCGGTTAAACCGGTAGGGGACTAAAAACATTTTGAATTTGAGGTTGTGTTGTTTGTTTTGAATTTGGGCATTCAAGGATATACTTCAATTTTTGGTAAGTCATTTTATTTATTAGCTATTTTTTTACAAATTTTTACTAATATCATAAAATGTTGAATATTGATGCTTTAGTCAAATTCTTTTGAAATCAATGATGTAGACAAAAATAAAAATCATGTGTGAAGCCCATGTACATGTTTTAAGGTCGTATGACTGAATAACTGGCAGTGTTCGGATTTACATACTGACCTCACTGAATGTTCCTAATTCCGAACAAAAGTTGAAAGAGAATAATTCACCCCAGTGGACTCAACAACTACAGCAACTACTGTTGTTACAGAAGCTGTGGCTCCTCCTACATCAGCTGGTAAATTATCGCCGTCAGATATTGTAAACGAATCTACGAATCTGTGCTTGATGAAATACCTACAGCTTCAACTGATTTAGTCACCACTCCATCTAAGCCATCTACTCTCGTGTCTCTCTCAGTGGAGCCGACTGGTACATCAACTGCCTGACTGATACATCAACTGCCTTTATGTTTACTGTGACACCTAACATTACAACTGATTCTATTACAACACCATCAAAATCTTCAGATGAACGTGTTCCTAAAGCAAATAAATCTATGTCACCATTTAGCAAACATTTAATATTCCCAAAGACTGAAACAAAGAAATCAAAAGCACGTAAAATGATAATACCAAAAGCAACAGGGGAAAAGTATAGATAATGGTTGAACGAAAAAGCAGAAAAGAAAGAAAAAGAATTGGAAAAAAAACCCAAGAACGACAGAGAACAATTACAAAATAAACTCAAGAGAGCCAAAGAGCTGAAGGAAAAACAGATTGCACTCGAAAAGAAATGGAAGGATAGAGAAGAGGCGAAGAAAAAGCTGAGAGAACTGAAGGAGAAAAAGAAGCAAGAGACTAAACAGAACATAAAAGAAATTGAGGCATCCAATTCAGATGATAATATTGCAGTAAGTGACTAAGTCCTACAAGCTGTTTTAAGTGCAAAACACTTTATGAGGACTATATACAGTGCATAAATTGTTTCAGGCGCTTTTTTCTGACTTGTGTTGCCGATGAACTTACCGACTGCTCGGATGATCTTCCTTTCAAATGTAAATACTGTTAGTGTTAGTGTATATATTTTCCTTTGCGTTGACATTCAATACTTTTGTTGCAGAAATGAATATGTTTAATAAAATTTCTTGAACATTTAAAAAATACTTTGATGATTGACAAAACTCTTTTCTAATGTAGATTTATGCCAAAGTACGAAAATGGTGTGTATTTGTTTACGCAACATATTTTTTTTTAAAAGTTCCTCATGTTCGGAATAAGGAACACCAATGTTCGGAATTACAATCATCGTTTGGTATTAGGGGCAGTTGGTAGATCTTTTGATCGGACGATAAAGCCTTTATTTGTATTCGTTAGGGTTCTAATACTGGCCAAAATTGTAGCATAATTACTAATCTATTGAAGAGTTGTCTCTCTTTAGTTTAAAGTGCTCATAATTCCGACCGAGATAAAATGCGGCTTAGGTGTTCGGTAATAGGTGCACCCGCTCTATGTACAAAAATAAAATCTATGCAGTACTCTACGAAAATAACATCTGAAAGGAAATAAAAGTTGTATGAATATGATGTACATACAAAAATAAGATATGTTCAAAAATATGGTAAATACGAAAATAATTTTATTAATTCAATATAAGTAATGAACCATGTAAATCTTATTTTCGTAGACGCCATTCGATCTATACTATTTGGGATACAGAAGTCACCATTTGATATTTCATTACAAAACATGTCATCCTTTATTATTTGATTTTTCATTAATACAATTTAATAACAAAAAAAAATACGTTCTAATACATTAAAAGATTCTATAAAAGATAAATTTTATTTTCATAGGCCCAATCTGAATTATTTTCGCTTTACACGGCGATTTGAGCTATTTTCGGCACAAACTTCACTTTTTAAAATATTTTTATTTTGAAATTTTAATTTGCTGTAAAATCATTCAAAGAATGCATAAATATATAACTAACATTATTATTTTAACAGATAAAATGGTTTCAGATGGCATTTCTGTTTTGATCATGTGTCAAATTTTAAACTGGTAAAACAAGGAAGTAAATTGCAAAGTTTTTGTGTCAAACAATGTTTTTGGTAGGAGTCTGGAGAAGATTCCTATAAGTAACTGAGAGTAAATAATGCAATTCATTGTGACAGAAATCAAACATTTCACTTATATATACATTATAACAGTGTCAGGTCATTTATTTTTTAAAGATTCTACTGGTTGGGGACCACCAAAACCGGACAACCACCAAACCCGGACGGCCCCAAAAATGCTTAATTTAGTATTTTCTTTGTTCAGTGGTTGTCAGTCACTT